TTTTTGCTTTGTGAGACAGAGTCTCAAGCTGTTGCCCTTGGTAGAGTGCTGTAGCATCATAACTCACAGCTACCTCCAACTCTTGGGCTCATGCAAACCTTTTGCCTCAGTTTTTCTGTTTTTAGTAGAGATGGGGTCTCGGTTTTGCTCAGGCAGTTCTTGAACTCCTGAGCTCAAGCAGTACACCTGCCTTGGTCTCTCAGAGTGCTAGGGTTATAGGCATGAGCGAGCCACTGCGCCCAGCGGGAATTTCTATTCTAACTAAAAATAGTTTTATATCCTTTGAAAATTCTGAAAAAAGATTTTTAATTTTTCTCTTAACATTTAATATATCTCCATATTTTAAGACTTTTAGTGGTTTGAGAATTTGAGGGAACCATTTGTGGGAAAGTAAATAATGTGGAATCTACTAATATCAAGTTGATGTCTAAGGCTTAGATGAATAGAATTTGGTGTGGAGGACTGTTGTTGGTACTGGAAGAAACCTTAGAAGAATTTGACTAGACTTCCTGTTTTGAGTAAGGACAATGTACTCCCAGTGGATGGTAATACAATACAAACACCTAAATGGTGCTTTTGTCATTGGGGAATTTGTGATTGGAAAAATTCTGTTGAAATTCAGATTTTAGAATCCAGTTCTCCTATTTCATGTTTAGGATCACAGTATTGTCCCAAAGGTTTAATTATTGAGAATATGCTGTTACAAAAAAATGATACGTAGTTAAGCACTCAGACTTATGTTTGTTTCTTATAGCAATTGTTGGAGTTTTATTGCTATTTTAATGCTTTGTAAGTCTTTTATTAAATTTCAGGTTAGTATTGGGGTACACACAATTAAGTTGCATAGTTTGCTTTTGTAAGGTGCTTCTCAAGTCTTTTTTTTTTTTTAATTAAATCATAGCTGTGTACATTAATGCAGTCATGGGATACAGTGTCAAGTCTTAATATTAGATCTGAGAATAAAGGAATTCAGTAGAACTACTGTAATACTGATAGTGGGGGGCAGAAGTAATAGTGATAGGTTAAGTGGGTTTTATTAGACTTTTGTTGTGTAGTTGTGAGGGGATATGCATTAATTGATAATGATTTTGAGTGCTCAGCGCCTGTAGCTCGCTGGCTGCAACACAAGCCATAAACACCGGAGCTGGAGGGTTGGAACCCAGTCTGGGCCTGCCAAACAACAAGGATTTTGAGCTGCCCTTAAAGGGATTTCTAGTGTTCCCAACATTAAGTAAGGCGTGAATTTATACTAGAGTCACAGTTCTGCATTCTGCGTTCTGGGTAATACCAAAGAGATGATATTGTCTTCATTTCTTCAGGATGCAAGGTAGTTATATGGTAACATCTTAGGCATTGCTTATTGTGTTGATTTCTCTTTGTTTATTTTTTCATACAGAGTTTCGCTCTGTTGCAGGGTTTTTCAAACTTTTTAATCTCATGGTACACTAGAACCCATAGTAAAACTTCGTCAGCATACTTCGATTATATTGATTTTTAAAAAAGTAAAAAAAAGAATATGCTTACTGTGTTTTGAACCTCTTTTGGAATAATTTAATTAATGATCTTTAAAAATTTTCATGGCACATGTAAGATCCCCTCATGGCACACTGCTCTATTGCCTGGGCAGTGGTGTTATAACTCGCTTCAGCCTTAACCTCATGGGCTCAAGTGATCCTCCTGCCTCAGCCTCTCAAGTAACTGGGACTACAGGTGCATGCCACCATGCCTAACTGATTTTTCTTTTTTATTTTAGAGATTGGGTCTTGCTAGTGTTCAGGCTGGAGTTCTTTCTTTTTTTTTTTTTTTAAAGAGACAGAGTCTCACTTTATTGCCCTTGGTAGAGTGCCGTAACATCACAGTTCACAGCAACCTCCAACTCCTGGGCTCAGGCAATTATCTTGCCTCAGCCTTCCCAGTAGCTGGGAACACAGACACCTGCCACAACGCCTGGCTGTTTTTGCAGTTTGGCTGGGGTCGGGTTTGAACCCACCACCCTTGGTATATGGGGTCGATGCCCTACCCACTGAGCCACAGGCATTGCCCAGGCTGGATTTCTTTATAACCATAGCAAGAATGGTTGGATCAGGAAGAGAGCCAAATGTGAATTAATGACTTCACAAGGACAGATTTTATTTTATTTATTTTTTTTTTTTTTGAGACAGAGACTCAAGTTGTTGCCCTGGGTAGAGGGCCATGGCAACATCATAGCTTACAGCAACCTTCAACTCTTGGGCTCAAGTGATCCCCTTGCCTCAGTTTTTTTTTGTATTTTTAGTAGAGACAGGGTCTCGCTCTGGCTCAGGCTGGTCTGGATCCATGAGCTCAAGCAGTCCTCTTGCGTTGGCCTCCCAGAGTGCTAGGATTACAGGTGTGAGCCACCACACCTGGCCTGACAGATTTTATAGTTATTACTTTTTTTCCAAATACGAAAATTAGAGATTGATTGAAGAAATCCTGTGGTTAGTCAAAAAGTTTTACTTATTCTGAGAAAGCTTTTTAGGTCTTTGAGGACCCAGTTAAGGTTTAACAACAACAACAAAAACACAAAACCCCTGTGTTTGGGTTGTTTGTGTATAGATAAAACAAACAAACAAACATGGCTCAGTGCATCACATACAATTGCTGGAAAATTTGTTACCCAAGGGAAATGTGATACTATTCTGGGAGTTAGAAGATGGATTCAAATATCTGATTTAACTTATGGCATATAAGCCTTTTTATGCCTTACTTTTCTTGTCTGTATAATCTTTGGCTCTTAGTTTTTAGAGAGTATAGTTAAAAAGCCATTGTTATTTTCATTGTTATGTATGATTAAGCAAAGGCATTGATACCTTTTTGGAAGAAACTGAAAAATGTGGGTTGAGGGATAGATTAAGTGGATTCTTTTTTTTTTTTT